CTTAATGCCTGAAGCAGGGAAGAGAAACAACATCACATGACTTCAAACCACATCTTGCGTAGCTCGTTTCCATGCCAATATTGCCTACTCTGAGACATCCCAAGTTTGGGGAGGTGCACAATACACGCCCACTGAGCTCCTGCAATCCTCCTCCCCAGGATTAAGCTAGCCAGGCTCCAGCAGCTCTTACAGGGTGCACACACAGAAGCTCCCCTCTGCTCCAGCAAGCATTGCTGCTGGCTAACTCCTTGCTCTCAGTAGCCCACACACTGACTCTCGACACCAGGGCTCCTTTGGCACAGTATAATAATAATAATACTGTACTTTATGTGCTAGCCAACTGGGAAGAACCCTAGACTAATCCATTAAAGCTATCATTTTATAATGAGAATAGCTATTACTGAATGCTTTTCATAGGAAAAGGATCATCCTCAAGGGGAAAAAGTTACATAAAAGGTATTTCAAAAGCGATACATTTAAGCTCCTAATCTGGGCTAGTCTTTCAAGTTTGGGGATTCAAGTACAAGATACAAGAAGACCTAACACAAACAATCGCAGAGCAACTTGTTTTGACGAAGACAAGCTTGTTCGGACAATTATATATATATATATACACACACACACAAATAAGTATTTCATTTCACTACAGAAAAGCGTTGTTCCCTGTTGAATTACACCACATTGACTTCTACATACACCAAGAACCATTGGAAAAAGAGGTTGAACATGACATTTCCATCTCATCTCTAAAGAGTTCTGGTCCCAATTTGCGACCAATATCAACAAAAGAAACCACAGGACAGAAAACAGCAAAGAAAGATTTACTGTGACAGATGAGAATTGGAACAAGACTAAGAGGAGCAATAATCTGGACAGTGTTGACATATTCCTCCCAAAAGCACTATGACATGCTCTTAATCAGGATGGCACCCCTGAGCTGAAGGGCACCAACAGAAACTGCCCAGGGCCAAGCCTTAAGATACCATGTTTATTTCTGCACCACCAAAAACTCCAAGTCTGACTTTTCTCCCCCCCCTCTTCTTCCCATCCATCCATCTGAATTTCCCTCTGCCTTGCTACCCTGCGCCTGTTGTCCTGTTTCTAGCTTCAGTGCCACATTCATGCTTTGGGCAGTCTCTTCTCTTCCTTCCCTCCAAACCAAAGCGTTCCCTACAAACTAAAGCTCGGCAACGGCCTTTGCGTGGCAATCTGCAGGTTAACTCAGCTCTCAGCTTATGCCTTGAGACTACAAACCCCACAGCTGGCTTTGGGGTTTACTTTTTGTTTCTCAAGAAAAAGATTCGTGTTGTCATGCCCCAGACTGTTTTACCTTGAGAAGTAACGCATTAAATAATTGTTGAGCAGGAAGTATTTTAATAAAAGGCCAGAGCTAAGGAAAATGTAAGTGATGTGGAGATTTCCTACGACTGATGATGAGCATCAGAATCAAAGGCTGCCCCTCAGGGTGTCCTCATCTTCTCACTACTATATTATAGCCCATAGAATTATATTGCTTTAAGCATCATGTTATGACTTTTCCAGACTCTGGACTCAGCTCTGAAATCCCTCAGAAGCGCTACATGGGCGTCAGGGTGAAGATGCCAGTACGGGAACTACTGAGAAAGATCCGGCTTTCCAAAGGCCTGGACTCAGCTCACAGTAAGGTAAGGACTCTCTTAGAGTTTGGAAAGGTCACTTACATCCTGAGGTGCAGCATGGTGCACGCACATCACGCTGCCGCTCTGTAGGTGGCTCTGGAAAGGTTACCCCATCGCTGCTGCCTCTTCTACCAGGTCAAGAGAATGCTTTTGATGGAGGTAGAGAATACACCAAGTTTTAAACAGGCTGAGGGCCTGTGCTAGGAACCTTTCTGAGTGACAGCAAGAACTCATCCATGCCCCACATGCCATTTTGAAGGATAAGCCCATGCTATATATTCAAATATACGCCAAAACTAAACATCATGCAATCAAGCTAAAGATGGCCTGAGAACCAATAGCAATTTTGCTGTAGCAACCCAGATTTCTGAACAACCTGCAAAACCAGCCTAAGAAGCTGGTAGACTCCCAGATACCTGGCCTACTGTAAGGGCTAGGCCACCATCTGCCTGCAGCTGTCATGAACTACCCAGTCATGGAATTTTGTTGACCTGCAGCCACTGCTGTGCAAAGTACATGCTGTGCAAAGTACATGGGTACTTTGCTGTGCAAAGTTACGATTTATTTAGCTCACATTACATTATTTGCCACTTTCACTTTCTCTTATGTGAGAGCGTCTCAAATTGAATTTTTTTTTGCCTCCTTAGGAAGCCTCATTAACGAAGACAGCAACTAAAGGATCCTCAGGAAAAACAGGTCAAGAAATCCCTCTCTTGGTAACGTGGTCTCCTTTTGTAGTAGGAATAGCACTCAGAAACACAAAGAGCTGGGCCACTTCTACCCCATTTTCAGTAACCGACACCGGTTCCTAGCTCCCCGAAAGTACACGAGCAGGGCAGCTGTGTATCACCGCCATGTATGTGTTACCTGTTACATGGGGGACCATTTCTGCTAAAATTCTGAGATCTTCTGTATATTCCCCCCCCTCTGATAACTGAAGACAGCTTTTTCTCTTTCTTTCCAACAGAAAAGAGACGAGTTCACCCTTATACAGAGAAACAGCTTGGACAGGTATGCATAACACATTCAGCTCAGCGCTGCCAGCCTCCCCAGGCATATTTCATGTTTTATCACTGAGCAAGAGCAGGACACTTCACGTCTGATTTTCCTCCCCCATCTTCCGCCCTCTCCCTTTTTGTTGTTGCTGTTTCAGAGCAAGCAGAGCATTGGGCAAACACCAAAAGGCTTAGAGGACCTCGATATCCTGGTGGAGGTACTGCAGGAAGATTTGAACAAAAGCCAGTCAAAGGAGTTTTCTCTGGGTTCTGCGCCAGATAGCTTTTGGCAGAGCTTCTCCAAAGACCTGCAAGCCACTCAGTGGGAAACTGGAGTAAGCAAGCAGGCAGCTGGCGGCCTGCGGGAAAGATGCCACAGCTTGACCAAATTGCACTCATACTGCTCTTTTAAAGATTGCAACTCACTGTTGCAGGGAGAGGTAGAGACTTCTTCTCATGATGATCATAAAAACATGCAAGAGCCAGACTCATCAGGACTATTCTCAAGGACAAGTGAGGAAAGCGGCTCATGGATGCAGCATGCATGTACCAGTTACCAGAAAGATTTCCTGAGGCTTTCTGCATGGACCACATCTCCCTGCTACAATCCATCAGGGGCCTGTCCAGAGGTGTTTCTGGAAGGTAGCAAAGGCTCTCCAGACTTCGAGGGACACTTGAAATCGACCTTGATTTCTTTCACACAGCAGGATCTCTCTGCCATCTCTTTCTTCCAGTTCCAGCTCTGCAGGGAAGAAAGTCTACTGAGAAACATCCCAGTGGGCAAACTGCTTGCACCTGATGAAAATGGCAACAGGTCTCCAATTTTTCTACTGAAATCATATAGCTTGCTTTTTCCTGGGGTGTCACTTGTCCTGAGGATTTGCTCTAACTTCTACTATCGGTTTTGGGCACACCTGTAGCAAAGGCTTCCTTACTCAATATGAAGCTCGAACTTGCTGTAGAATACACTGTTTTAGACAGAATCAAACTCCACTAGTAAAAATAGAAAGTTTCCCTATTTGCAGTAGTATTGCTAAACCACAGCTGACATCAAGACAAATTCAGAGTGTGAGCAATACTCAGGACTGAATTGTATATGTGAGGATTCAGAAGAAAATTAAAGGTGAGGGGGTTATTAAGGATGTGCAGACGAGATTTGTTGTCCAGGCTGCAGCCACTCATGGGATAATTACTTCTATTATTAGTTGGCAATAAAGATTAGCAGCATATGTATGTTTTGGTGTAGTCTACAGAGGGTAGACTTCCAAAGAACTGGGAGTGGTTGTTTTGTTAGAAATGAATTGAAGCAAAAGGCTTTACTGCTGGAGTGGCACACTTAAAGAGCAAATACTTGTTTACCAAAAAAAGCAAAACCTTATGAGGTTCCCTGCAGTTCAGCTAATTTGAGAAAAGATATCAAATCCAATATGGCAGAAAGCATGACCTAGTTCTAAACTGTCCTAGTTTGTTGGAAAGCAGACTCATTTGTGATCATACAGACAATCCTGATCCCAATTTAAAGTATTTGGATTCCATGCAGGGAGAGCTAGATAACAGAACTAGCCTCTTCCATGAAGTACCATGTTTCATTCACATAATGATTTGCAATGCAATAATACAAAATGTAGGCTTTGCTTCTCAAAAATAATGCACGACCCCCAACACAGTTGAAATAAGCCACCTCCTATCTTTTTTCAGTATTTCCCACATTTTTTAAATATTAATATAGAAGAAAAACCCTCACATCTACTCAAAATGCATCACAGTTAAGAAATTAAGATTTCTACTACCATTTTTATATAGAATCCGCAAGCTAAAATTTTCAGCAGCAAGCTTAAATCCATGAGGAACTTAAACACCAGGCCATGTGCACAAATGAGCATTTGAAGGCAAGAGTACCTACTAAAGGGATGTCAGTTCTGAGCTGAATCGAATGATGAGCAATACGAGTTACTGCATCAAAAAGCCCTCACAAAAACAAACCAACCAACCCCAGAGACTGCAGTAGGTGGCCAAACCCCAGCCTAGAGTTATTCAGACATCGCTGAGTACCATGCTACAGGACAAGGAAAATAAGTGCCTGCGCTAAATGTTTCCTCCAGAGGAAAGGTAAACATGTCCAATTTTACAAGAACATAAGTCTTTTCAGGAGAAGTACGTGTGCTTGTTTTGAGTAGTTCAGTGAGACTGAGGACAGAAGCACTGAGCTCTCCTCCTGCGTAGGACTGAATTACTGCTTGAAAACACTGCTTTTCTCTCAAGTGGGAGAGAAGGGATTCCCTTCCCAGGCTTTTCAGGCACCTCACGCTCCCTTTCCCCTGTACTGAAAGGGGCTCATATAAAAGGAGGAGGAAGTAGTTAGAGACGTCTAGTCTTCAGACTAGACTGAAGTGGAGGGGAACGGAGCAGTAAGTAGCAAGCAGGGAGAAGCAAGAAACCCCCAGCACACACAGCCAGTTCAAACAACAGCCACAAAATTAGCAAGTCCCTTATTAATACAGGATAGATAAATGCATTAAATGCTGAAACATCCCAAACTTTAGACATTTGCGACCCTTAGCATTTCAGGCTTTGAAATAAGTTATGTTACTTTTGAGTAAATTAAGCATTGCTTTAACTTCTAATTGTTTAAAACGGTATTTATTGCAGGCTGCTGCACAAGGCTGTCGCTCAGGGAAGAAGAGCTCTGACTTACGTGCTTGCACAGAGATTTGCATCCCTAAATAAAATTGACGAGAAGGATGCAGAGAAACGGGTAGGATGATAACTTAGAAAAAGACCCTATTCTTTCCATCACATGCAAATATCGTTCAAACATGGGTTAAAAAACCAAGCACCCTTTTGAGCAAGGTGTTGCTGCTGTTGTTGCAAAGAGGCAAGAACGTACAAGAGAGGAAATGATTCCCATAGAGCAAGTATTAGCACAGCTGGGAATAAAACGCAAAAGTCACAACTCTCCCTCTCTAACACACAGTGCTGCTTTAAAAGCATTTACACCTTTCACAGTGAGTTTCTCCCATTTTTCTTTACTTAGACTGCATTACATCTTGCTGCAGAAAAGAACCAACACCTGATGGTCAGTGACCTGATTTCGCTGGGAGCTAATGTCAATGAACAGGACAATTTGGGGAAAACCCCACTCCACCTCTGTGCAGAGAATGGATATTTGCGAGTTCTAGAAGTAAGTTGGTCATTTATATTTTACAGCCACACGCTCAAAGGCAGAGTTGATAAGTCAAATACCTGTTATTTCATTCAGAACAGACAGGGTTTTTACTTATTAGAAAACCAGCGTTGGTGTGATATTGTTAAAGTGGGATAGAGGGATTGTATTTTGGCAGTGCCAAAACCAAGTTGAGATGATAAATCATTTTCTTGATTTCAGGTTTTGAAAAACTGCAAAGAAAATGGCATGTGTGTGGAAGTGAACCTGACTGACCATTATGGTAAGAGGAAAAGCTTAACTATATTGAAGCGTAGCATAGATTCCTGAAGTTTCAGATCCCAGATTTTATCTGGGCCAAAGAACATTTAATTTTACATTTAAAAATAAAAGGTCTAGGATGAGGGCCAGTCTTACCAGGACATCCCCTTGCAATTAGCCACGCGTGGGATGGTTTACTTAAGTGATGTGTTCAAGCGCTGGATTTGTTTGACTTTTCTGTGATCCTTTCTGCTCAGGTTTAACACCGTTACACTGTGCCGCTCTTTCCCACACTGTCTTAGTTATGGAATCTCAAAAAACTGACATCAATACTGACATGGGAAGGTTTCTCAAACTACGCAAAGATCAAATTCTTGAGGGAATTAACTGTTTGTTACAAATGGGAGGAAAACCTGAGCTGCAGGTGAGGATCAGCAGCAGGCTGTTTACTGTGATCTTATGCTTTCTTATTTGTTCGCAAACACAGGTTTCGCTTTCTTTTGTAGGTACTAAATTCGTGTCAAATTACCACTCCCTGTTTAAAAATAGAGGAGAATACTGAGCTAATGCGTTTTCTCCAGACTCATAAACCCAGGAGACAGAACGTCCTTCAAGAGGTAACTCTGCCCATGGAGCCTTTTACACCAGCGCTAGCACCCAAGAAAGCAAACGTGGTAATATAAACTGTACCTCTCTGTAAGCACAGTAGATAAAGCTCCCCGTCTTGCCCTAGCTGGCACAGCATAGTCACCCCCCTTTTCAAGGGAAAACCACCATAGCAGCTGTTAGTCACGCTTGATCCCATTCCTGTTCCAGGGATTGTTACGTATGCAAAAATTTAGAGCAGTCCAGTTGCATGCAGGGGCTGCCAGCACACTGCTCACGCCTGCCCCCGATCCAGTCCCTGCTAGCAACAACTTCGTTTCCAACATTTTACAGCACACCAAACCAGACAGGGGTAAGTTCAGGAGCAGCACCAGAGGAATTCTTCCTCCGCTGATAAGGAGATGCTGCAGCCTAGAACGTTGCCACCATTTACAGTTTCAGCAGCTTTGTCATAGAGAAAAAGCTGATTTTCCTCATTTTCCCTGTCCCTTAGCATACCAATTCAATACGAACCCAAACCAACATCTGCAGTGCAAGGCTGAAAGATAACCAGATTATCCTGTGGTTATCAGTATCTCTTGCTAAATTTTTGGTGTAGCAGACACCAACCTTGAAAAGCAGGAACTCTGCTAAGCACTCAGATTGCTAGGGTGAAATTCTGTTCTCATGAAATAATGCAATATCTGCCATAGATTTCAGTATTCTTGTCAAAAACCTAGCAACTATTCAATGCTTAAGAGTAACAGCCTTCAGACCTATTTTCAGATGCATCAGATGAGACTTCTTAGCTGTGTACATGTACAGAAACTGAGCAAAAAAAAAGATTTTAGTCAGAGGTACGTAGATTTAAAAAAAAATGTATTTTGAGTCATTTATGGACCTATTTTCATAACAGATGTGCTCTGCAGGAACTAAAACACAGCACAAGCAATTAAAATCATTTCTACCCAGGTTACTACTGACTGAACTAACTGTTAACCATGCCACACTCTTCCATCTTATGGTAAGGGACAGAATCTAAGCTTAGCAAGTCAAAACCAGTTTGCGTTCTTGACACAAAGCTTGCCTCATTGAAATTGCTGAAAATTGACCGTTCTGGATTCTTCATCTCTACAGGGTTATGGTTTGCTTGATGCTCCAAGAAGAATGCCTTACCACTCACCACCAGATAATGTTTCTGAACTTTTTCCCCATTTCATCTTTGGGCTTCTTTGACATCATTCTTAAAGGTATTTCCCAATTACAAAAACGGTTTTATCTAGTCAGGATCTTTGTAACTCCACAGCTGGAATGTAGCAGCTACCTCCAGTACATAATTGGTATTGCTCTAGAATCATAAATCACCAGTTACACATGAACTGATGGAAAATATGCCCAGTGACTTGTAATAGATTTTGGATCAAGTCCAGAGTTCTGCACAAAATACCTTTTGCTTGCAAAGCTCCTTGCTCATCCAAAAACCAAGTAGAAAATGGGGCAATAAATATTTGGCATTAGAAAAAAATTTAACATGTAGATTGAACTGAATATTTGTTGGTTTATTGCCTTCCAGGGAAATGCTGATAAGGCTCATTATCTGCATCTCATGGTCCGTATGCTGCAGCTGTTGCTGAAGAATAGACAGAGAACAGACAGTAAAAGTCTTTGAATGTATTAGAGCTTGAACTGACTGTTAAAAAAAAATCTCCTTAGTATCTGGAAACAAAGAGCAAACAACTAAAGGCAAAAAAAACCCTCAGGCCAGGTTTCACTAGTATTAGGCATTCAGTGTTAGATGCTCCAATAAATAAGTCAGTCTTAATTTTCCTGTGCAGCTGATTGCACTTCTCTCTTGAAGTCCATTTGAGTAGTAGTTGTTCTGCATTCTGAAGCCCTGGCAATTTTTTTTTAAATGCATGTATCTAGTTTAAGGAGGAAGAAAAAAAAAAAAAAAACACACACACCCCTGTTTTGAGCCCTCCACAGCCTAGTCTTTAGAGCACGAGCATGCGATTATCCTCTACAGTCTGAACTTAACGTTCAGATGTGCTGAAAACCTCCAGCAATATATAAATTTGAATGTATACTATGGGTACTCAAAGTCTGACTGGTTGAATCTAATACTCTCTGCAAATTAACTTTGAATTTGTCCAAGGCTTGAGTTGTCACCCTTTAAGGCAATCCCATTTAAAAACAAACAAAAAAAACCCTACATCTCATAACTAAGCCTTCCCCTCCCCCCGCAACAAAAGTCAAGCTCTGTTTATACAATCAGAATTTGCCATCAGTAATGGATTGTAGGTGTAGTTTGGGACAAAAAATTAGTGGTTTAGATCATTTAGAGTGAAGGAACTGATTCATCAGAGGAAAATACTCTAAAAAATTTAACTATATAACAACATGGCACTTTTTTAAATACGGAGAAATTTTGAAGTTAGAAGGATAACAAATAGCTTAAATAATCCTCTACTGCCAGATACATAAGCCTAATCTCTAGAATTTCTATAAATTAGGTAGTTATTGCCACAAAAAATTACTTTCTCTTTCTGGACTTAGTCTCATTTTATTTTAATTTCTGATTGTTAATTAGCTGGTTTCTATGAAACTTCCCTGTTTGCTACATATGGAGCAATCTAGATTTATATAAACCTACAAAATGACTGATCCAGCAATCAGCTCACATATGTACCTCCCATTGAAGGAATGGGAGGTTTTTCTTGTGTAACCATTGCAGGATCCAGTATTAAGTACTCAGCATGTTTGGGGGATATTTTTTAAACGCTTCCTTTGCATTTTCTTGTTATAGAACAATCTCTTTCCTCTTGTTGGATATCCTTAAGTGTTAAGCTCCAAGAGCTATAGTGTACAACACGATTCAAGTTTAACTTAAAAACACTGTCATTTTCAGTAAACTCCAGTGGGCTTTGGGTCATATCCTGTGTTTCTTATGCCCTGAACAGTTACATTTTGCATTGCATTACTCTACATGCATCTTCTGCAGTCTAAATGAGAATTAAGTACTACAAAACTCTCAAGTGTATTTTAAATAATTTTGTACTGCTACTTGCATAACAAGTTGAACAACATTATGCAGTATTCATCCCTCTCCTTCCATAGACATCCGCCATGCTTTTAATTATACAAAGTCTTTCTCTTCTTCTTTTGTCCCAGATTTTACCTGGAAATAGAAATATTTTCCTCTCAGATGTTTTTCTGTCACCTCCCCCCCCCCCCCCCCCGCCACAAGTTCTTCTTTCATTTTGCATTTTAATTCTCATCTGAGCTCATAGCCCTTTTTATTCATTTAGAGAGAATGAATGTGGATCTTCTAGGTTACTCAGCTTCCATTCATGAGATTTAAGGAGCAGTTCCAAAACCTACTGAAATTAAAGACTCCTTATTTTCAGTGAATACTGGGCAAGAAATTCTGCATTACATGCAAAAGCAAGAATGAAGTAGTATGGTGACCAAATTTACAGCTGCATCAATAAACATTTTCAATGAAAAAAAAAAAAAAAGAATTTGCAGGATATCACAGAAAAAACTGCAGAAAACTATCGTATAAAAATACAATATTAAGCAAGGTTTTCTATTGTATAAAAATACAATATTAAGCAAGGTTTTAGTTACACAGATAACTGTTCAGGTGAAAGGAAGATTGGAACCTTAAGCTCTTAGTCTGTATCATTTATTCAATATACTCAAAACTGAATTTGCCTGTAAAGTATACATTTTACAACAGTTAATATATATTAACAGAATCTATTATTCTATTAAGAATAATAGATGTGCTTTACGTTGTTTCATTGTTCCTTCTCATCAATAAGTTTTCAGTTTCATGCATTATTTGTTTTTATGTACTGACATTGATATACTGTACTCACAGAAGAGACAACTGTCATCAAATGAGCAAATTAAGCAGTTAAAGTGTGTGCGTGTGGTTTTTTTTTAAATGCACTCATCAGCTTAAAAAAAAAAAGGGGGGGGGGGGAGGGGGGTGAGGGCTGCCTGTGCAGCAGCACCATCATTACCAAGCGGTTTTACTAGAGACCCTTGTTTGCTAGCCATATTCATCAATTCTCTACCTCTAGCTAAGAGTAGAAAACTATTCTTTCAATAAACTATAAAACCAATTCTCAATCTTTTTCAGCACTAGGAAATTTTTGGCTACAACTGATCTGCAGCTGGAGGGGGGGCAGCACTAAAGAGCTTAAGTAATGCAAGAGCATGCTGAAAAAACTGCACTTTCTCAGCTGTTCACTGTGGCTAACTGCAACCAGCTATTTTAAACCAAAAGAGAATAAGAAAGGGCTTTGAATAGGAATTATCCTTTATAAACTTAATTTGCACTTCTATGGCAAGATTCTTCCAATTATTTTTTCCTCTTTGTGAGGAGAAGGACCTTTTAGCATTAAGATGGGGACTTTGTAAGTACTGCATTTTCTCTACTCCTAGTGCAGTCACTACTGCAAGTGATGTGAACAATTGTCTGCAAAGAGCTGTCACAACAGCTGGGCTGAAAATGAAGAAATATGATATTCAAGGGAAAGTTCTGGGGGAAGTTTTCTAGGGTGGTATGTGCTAACAGGTACTGTAATTTGGGAAGGGCAGAACTGAAATCAACTCCGACACGTATGTACAGCACTAGATAGGGCTAGTTAGATTGTGATGGTTCAGATTAAAAGCTTTTGCTTTGAATCTCATCACAAAGCGAAAACCTCCCCTGGCAGGGCAGCTCCTTGAACCTAGGCCCATTGCTGATTCAGGACTATCTCGAAGGAAAGGACAGCACTTACTGGATCACTAGCATTACTTCCTTCAGCCCCACATGCATGCTGTAAATCTGCCCCCACATCTCTTTAGACAGTCCCAGTTCAAACCCGCTTAGTTAGCGGTGGTAATAGGACCTCAACAGAAGGTTTTACAATACTTGAGAATCAGTCCAATGGCTTCTCCCGAGCCTGTCTTTAAACTGAGGTTTTGAAAACGCGCATACAAACACTAGCTTACTTTTGTGGAAATAGTCCCATGTTCCTACGAAAACTTCTGTCGCATTAATTATGGAAACTGGCTTCCACATTCAGCCCTCATGCTGACAAGGTTTAAGGTCACTGTAATCCAAGGAGGGACCTCTTGGCCTACAGACGCATCCTGTGCACATAGGCTGCAAAAGTGCCTGTGGCAGAGGGAGAGCGGTTACCTTTCTGCAGTTCCTGCCAGGGCACGGCAGAATTGTCCCCAGGACAGAGTTTGGCCATCACAGACCACAGGTCAGACCTACTTTAAGCTGCACTGATGTTATCAGCCTCACTTGAAATGGGCTCAGAGCTGGTGAGGTTCAAGAGGAGCAGCCACAGCAGCACAAGGTTCAAGGTGGGCAGCATGACTGTGGCACGCCTGGGACCAAGTGCTGTGCTGCTGACTACTAAGTACCACTTACAGTGGCCAGACTAATATTTGCTGCGCGAGTCCTCCAGCTAATTTATTCAAAGCCAGCTCCCGTGTGCTCCTGCAAGCTGTAGCCATGCCTTTGAACTACATACAGCACAGGCCATACTTAGAGAAGCTGCTTAGCTTTTTCACCTCACTTCTCACCCTGTATTACAAAATGAGTGTTGCTCACTGGCTTACACAGTTAGTTAGGTTCCCATTTCCTTTGAAGATATATGAGCACTGGCATGCATAATTATTTTTAAATGCAGTGCAAGAGCTCCGTCACTAAAGTAGTAGCGGTTCAGCACAGAAAGATAAAAATAAGCCACCAGATCAGATCCAGCACTCCCAGCAGTTCTCAGGGATGTTCCTGATGTGGAAAGAGGAAATTCATGAGATATCTGTGGCATATTTGTAATGGGTTGAAGAAGGTCATGGCAATGGTAGAAGCTTTACCTTCCTGTCAGGGCTCTCTGATGCATGTTTACCATCAGTGATAACTGCAAGGCCACAATCCCAGGTCTCCTCTCCCGTAGATCTTTCCATTTAGTGTTTTGGGTGAAAGGGAGTACATATGCCAGAGCCCTAAAAGCTAAAGTTACCCAGAAGAGAAGCTCCAGACTACAGCAAGATATGTTTGTCAAAAGCAGCCTGAGGCGAGGGAACAGGAGCTCTGTCCTAGGTGTTACCTCACTAGGACTTTGGCAGCATTTTACACCCTTCACATACAAAACCAATACCCTGAAGTTCCTCAAGGAGGCAAGGCAGAACACAGATGCTTAGATGCTGCTACTACAGTCACAAGCCCAGAAACAAAAGCTGTTCTAAGGATCTCAACACCTTAGCATTGAAAGCTTTTTTAGTGCACATAGATGTGTTCCCATTAGCTTCCAGAAGTTATCAACAACACAAGTACTTAGCGTAGTCAACTATAAAGTGCTGTGAAAAGCAGAGAAAGCATAGCCTTTGCTACCAAGCTCATATCTATGAAACACACAAGATAAATTGCAGAGGTGGCAAAAGGCAATACAAATGATGAAAAGATTAGGGAAGAAATTTTATGGATGAAGAAGCAACTGCAAGGCAGACAGAAGGAAGGAAACTATCCTAGGTATTAGGTACATTAAAGTAGTAGGAATAACACAAAAAGGAGAGCAGAGAAGAGATTCTGGCCTCAATTTTCAGCTGCACGAAATTCGGCAGGCAGCAAGAGCGCCAGTTACAGACCATTAACTCTGGAAGATGTGTTAAGCAGACAGGTCCTCAGGGAGCTGTGTTCAGTAGCTAGTGAAGGCA